TATTTGGGTTATGGGCAGCATGCTAAACTCAGAGAAAACATGTTTCACAGCCCAAACACAGCACTTGTTATCATATTCACTACCTGAAATGTGCGCAAGGACCACCCAAACCCAGCTTGTTATACAGAATGATTCATAAATGGAACGTTTTAAAACAAAATTTAAAATATTAAATAAAAATAAAATATATAAAAAATGTATGGCTGGTGTGGGTCTTGGAAAACTCAGATAAGAACCCATGACTATAAGGTCTATGATCATTTACTACAAATTATAGAATTTCTATGAGTATTAATATATCATTACCTTTTCTCAAGGAATGTCTTTCCATTTACATAGTTTTTCCCCATTGCAGTTGCTTTCCATGCAAAGTATGCCCCCTGGGAAGTAAAAAGTATAGGGAATTAGGAATATGTATTCTTCTTACCAATAAAATAAAGTATTCTCTATAGTACAGGTTACTTTACTTCAGTGAGAATAGGACAAAAAAATAAATTGAGGTCTATAATTGCAATCCTGTTTTACTAAAACAGAATGTTTTCTTTCCACTTGCTGAGTTTTCAAACTGCTGCTTATACTCTGTTAACACTGTTAAACCAGTGTTTCTTAAAGTGTGGTCATAGGACCCCTGGGGGTCCCCTAAGATCCTTTCAGGGGTCTGTGAAATCTAAATTATTTGCCAGCCTATGTTGAAAAATAATACAATATTAAAATCTCATTAAACAATCATGAGAAGTGGTAGTAGCAGGAAATGAGTCAATTTTAGTTTTTAATATGGTAAACATTATTATAATCCATACAAACAAAAGCTCTTTTGGGGTCCTCCATAATTTTTAAATGTGGGAAGAGGACCTGGGAGAAAAAAAGTTTAAGACTCATTGAGTGAAACAATCTAAAGTCTCAGGGTTTTTTTTTTACAATTTTCACTGAAAGTTTTAAGAGCGATAATAAGAACTAATACAAATCAAAACAGAATAAGGAGAACATAAAGAAATAAAAGAACTAAAAGTATAAGGGAAAAAAGTAGAAGTAGGAAAAAAAGAAAAAGATATAAAGAAAGATATAAAGAAGTGGTTTCACAGCAGTTATAAGTACAATTATATTTTAATCTCTCTCTAAAATTACAAAGACCCAGCTGAGACTAAAAAGTTAGAGGACACACAGAATGTAGGTGAAATAAGTTAAAAATCTTTTGCATATATGATATTAAATTTTACCTTTAAAATACTAATTTTAAAATAAACATTTTACTAGAAATTCCTTGGAAATGTCCCATCTCTGTACAAATTCATAGAAAGAAGTTCTAAAAGCAGATTTTAAGAAGGGGAGGAAAGGATCAAATTTTAAATGTTCAAAAGGAGTCTGATAAATTCCACTACCAAGCAAATACTTACTTTTTAGGCTTTTGAGAAAATAGTATTCTCTAGAGATATACAAAACATTCTACACACAGAACAAGTAGTCTGTATCCAGACTAAAGTATGTATTTGGTTCTGATAGAGGCATGTACTCCAAGCAGAAGTATTGGAGTAATGGGGAGAGAAGAAAAGAAAAACCCAAGAACACTGGCAGCAGATAGGGGTAAATACAGAAAAGAAGACTCTAGGAACATCAGAAGAGGCAGGTAGGCCACTGTATATACCACACTTGAAGTCAACTTAGCTGCTATCAGTGAAAATATCCTGCACTCCAAGTGTGCTTGCCTTACTCTATCACCTAGAAAGATCCTTCCAGAACAACAGTTGCCAGAAGGGTTCTGCAGAACTTCCAAAATACAAGAAGTTTGCTTCAAGTCTGAAACAAAACTCATCTTCTTTTTCATGCAAAACCCTGTTGTTGTTCAGTTGTTAAGTCGTGTCCGACTCTTTGTGACCCCATGAACCATATTGCG